TTAAGCTAGCTAAAATATAATTAAGTAGCTAAAAAGTATGACTGTGTAATGATTAGCTAAAAATATGTTTTAAACTAGCAAAACAGTACAGCTAAAAGCTATACCTGACCAAAGATGAGCCAAAAACTATATTTTAATCTAGCAAAACAGTAGCTAAAAGCAAAAGTTTGCTAAAGAGTAGCCAAAAGCTATATGTTAAGCTAGCAAAACAGTAGCTAAAATGTATAACTGTGTAAGGATTAGCTAAAATGTTTTTAAACTTGCAACAGAAGATTTAAGCTATACGTGACTACAGATGAGCCAAAAGCTATGTGATAATCTAGCAAAACGGAGCTAAAAGCAAAAAATTGCTCAAGAGTAGCCAAAAACCATATGTTAAGCAAGCAAAACAGTAGATAAAAGCAAAAAAATTGCTAGAGATGCCAAAAGCTATATTTTAGAGTAGCAAATCAGTAGCTAAAAGGTGCAACTGTGTAATGATTAGTTTAAAAAAATTAAACTAAAAAACAGTAGCTAAAATATTTGTGACTATAGATGAGCCAAAAGCTATATTATAATCTAGCAAAACGGAGCTAAAAGCAAAAAATTGCTCAAGAGTAGCCAAAAACTATATGTTAAGCTAGCAAAAATGTAGCTAACAGCAAGAAATTAGCTAAAGAGTAGCCAAAAGTTATATTTAGTGATAGTAAAACAGTAGCTAAAAGCTATACGTGACTACATATGAGCCAAAAGTTATATTTTAAGCTAGCAAAACAGTAGCTAAAAGTCATAACTGTGTAAGAATTAGCTAAAAATGCATTTTAAACTATCAAAACTGTAGCTAAAAGCTATTCTTGACTAAAGATGAGCCAAAGCTATATTTTAATCTAGCAAATCAGTAACTAAAAGCAAAAACTTTCTAAAGAGTTGCCAAAAGCTAAATTTTAAACTAGTAAAACAGAAGCTAAAAGGTATAATTGTGTAATAATTGGCTAAACATATGTTTTAAACTAGTAAATCTAAAAGCTGTACTTGCTATGGAGGAGCTAAAAGCTATGTTTTGAACTACCAAAACAATTTAAAGTTAAAACTAATGGAACAGTAGCTAACGCTCAAATGAGCTAAAAAGTAGCTGAAAGCCATAACTGTCTAAAGAGTAGTTAAAAGCTATAGTTTATACAGGCCAAACTGTGGCTAAAACTAAATCAAGTATATTTTCCTAACAGACACGATCGTCTGCTGTTTGAGGCCGTGGGCATCAATTAGAACAACTGAAGACTTTTGCACAGAACCGCAGCTCCTTTAGAGCACCGTCAGTATGTACACGGTTTTTATTACCCGCCGCCTTAAACGGCAGGCGATACTGTAAACTGCCTGTCTCTGGGTGTGTTTTACTGTCTGTTAGCAAAATATCTCACAAATGACTGGATGGATTTTATTGAAACTTGCAGAATCGTTTGTCTTAAAGTAACTCGACGATCTCCAAGCTTCATCCAGACGGAGCGTGCCCTGCGTTAAAAAGAAGTGCACGTTTTAAACGGGAGCTGAAGGGAGGAGGAGGTGGAGGAGGAGGAGGAGGTGGTCCTGGAGGTTAACAAGGCATGCTGGGAGCTATGTGTCATGGCTGACATGACAAGCTTGACCTTGGAGCACGCCAACACGCCCCCACCCTCCCAATCCAACACCCGTCCTCCCCCTCCTCACCTCCTCCTCCCTCCTGCATCTCTATTTCACATCAGTCGTGTGCTTGGGGACATGGTTTGACGGCGTCTTCGTGTCCCGAGCATCGCTGGACGTCACGCTGCGGTCACAAGTTTCCATCCTCTCGTCCTGAACACCAACGTTCTTAATTTTAATATTTCAAGGGTTTGTTTGAACCTTTCTCTTCCCAGAGAGTTTACAACATACCACTTTAATGTTTTTATTTGTCCCGTCCGGGGGCATCAGCTCGAGGACCAGACGTCTCAGGACTCCAAGGTGGTCCCAGACCAGCTGAGAGGTCTTTCCAGCATGTCCTGGGTCTTCCCTGAGGTCTCGTCCCAGTTGGAAACGCCCAGAAAACCTCCCTGGAGAGGCGTCCAGGGTCCATCTCTGTCAAATACCTGAACCAACTCATGGTTTCCTCTGGATGTGGAGGAGCATCGGTTCTACTCCCAAGTCTCTTCTGGAGAACTGATCTTCTCACATGATCTCTAAGGAGAGTCCAGCTACCCTGAGGAGAAAACTCATTTAGACCTCCTGGATCCAGGATCTGGTTCTTTCAGTCGCTTCCTATAGTTCATGTCAATAGGTGAGGGTAGGAGCGTAGCTCCCTCTTCACCACATTGGACCGGCACAGAGTCCACAATACTGCGGACGCTGCACCAATCTGTCAATCTCAGGCTGCATTCTTCCCTCACTCGTGAACAAAATCCAGAGTTGCGTGAACTCCTTGACATCAGGAGGCACCTCACCCTCCCGACCCAGAGTGGACAGTCCCATCCTTTTCTGAGGGTCCATGGCCTCAGATTTGGAGATGGTGACTTCATTGTAGTCCTGTCGCGATAAACAATAAATCAATTAATCGCATGATAAATGAAAATTATCTACCTCATTTTCATTTATCAGCTTTATCATTTCTTCGTGTCTCTCTCTTTCTGAAGACACTGGATGAGAAAAGGCTCAACTCCGGTGTCTTCACTGACCCCTCCCTTTCTCTTTAAAATACTTTTAACGATCCAAAATCGCGTTTTTGGATCGTTAAAAGCAGCTAAGCTACGAGCTAAGCTACGAGCTAAGCTAACAGGTCGACCTCAGGGAAAAACCTCCGTCTTGCCGAAGCTCCAAAATTCACGTTTGAAGCCCGTGCCTTCGTGTAAAAAGTTGTTTTTCTCTGCAACAAGAAGCTGAGAACTTGTTTACTGATTTAAAAAATAAATATATTAAAAGTTTTGTGTGAAAAATGCTATGCTAAAGAGCTCAAACCACACCGAGCGTCGGCCATGTTGAGAACCGGAAAAAAGGAAGGAGAGACAGCCCATGTCACGTCAAGGGGCCTCCCTCCCGTTTTTCTTAAAGAGACACACTGCTCGCTCCCTCACTATCCATCCTTTGGTTCAAACAGTCTTATACTGCCATCCAGTGTTCAAAAAAGGTACTACACTCAAAAGTTAACCAACATTTCTTCTTAAATTTGACAATAATTACTAATTGATGTCAAATTTCAAACAATATTATCGTTTATCGCAATAATTTCTGAGACAATTAATCGCCCAGCAACATTTGTTATCGTGACAGGAATTACCTCATTGTGGATTTTTCTTTAATCCACAATGGACTACATCATTCAGTCGGTGTCAGATAATTCTGTACATTCACTTTTATTAATTGGTGCTGGATGTTTCAGGTCTTTTAAATGAGTCCTGTTAACGATCATCATCGTTTCATTGAACCATCATGTTTCTGATCCAGACCCAAAACTAGAGACAAGAGGAGATGTGGACCAATCTTTTTGTTGGTGGCCCTTACGCTGTAGAATGGCTTACCATTGAATCCATCCCCGGCCTGGATTTGATCCGGCGACCTTCTCGCTGAGTGGCTGCAGCTCTACTAACTGCGCCATCGTGCCACTCAAGTTGTACAACCTTTTCTGGAAAAAGAATGTTTCAAACAAATCATCAAAAGTCCAAAACAATGACATTCTTCATGAGGAGCTTCTCATGTCGCGTGTTCTGCCATGACGCTTCTGGTTTTGTTTATGTATCGACCCACGTTGGAGCTCCTCGGTGGTAAACACGCGCGTAATGACGCCGCCTCAGCGTTCGTTTTCAGTCCAAACGCCACGTTTTAATTAAGTCCAATTACGTTTTTATCGCTTTAATGTTCCAGACGGATAATCAACAGTGAGTGTGGGGGATTGGACGTGTGTCGGTGTGCGTGTGAAGTTGTGTTGTGCCGTGCGTGTGAGCGGCTCAGCCGGAACATGGAGCTCTGTGTTAACCAGGATTCATCAGTGTAATTACACGCGGCGCCATTAGACTTTCTTTGTGTCGGTTTAAGGAACGCAGCTGTATGAACTGTTCGATGTCCATTTCTACAGAAAACACGCGTGTGTGTGTCTTTGTAATTACGTGCGCTGATTTCCCAGAGATTAGACCAGCCCGACTGTTACCTTTAGCCTCTCCGTTAATTAGAGCATTATCGTTAATTAGCCCCAGCCCCTAATGAAAAGACACTTAATTGGCAATACAAAGATGATTCTCCCATTAACTCACCGGACAACGAGGAGGCCCAGTGAACGTTGATTAGCGGTTTAACCGTTAGCCTTCTAATGAGGGCTGACAGAACCACAGCGCACAGGATCGTCCCGCAGACTCTTCACATCAGCCGAACTGATCGTCTGAATGTTCATGAAGCATTCGCTCCACTGTGACCCATTTTTATTCCGTACGTTTTTCAGCTCCATTCTCATCCCCCAGTTTTCAGCTGTTTCAGCAAACCATGAATCAAAACGTTCTGCTCGTTCAGGACAATCCTGATATGAGTTTTGTTATTGGTGCAGCTTTAGCTTTTTGAAATATTTAGCCTTTTCTACTGTTTTTTCTCATAGAAAATGAATTGAGCTCATTTTACATCCTTCAAATCTTTAGATGTGTTTACAACCTTTTACTGCTCCTTTCACATTTTTGTTCTGCGTCTGCTTCCTTCAGCTTGAGCATGCATCAGGATATTCCTTCAGCTGCTTTCTGCTAATTTAAACTTTTTTCAGCTCAATGGGATTAACCTGTAGAAATAAAGGTTGAATGAAAAATTTAGCTCTTTTTATGTAAATTTGAGCTTTTTCAGCTAATTTCATCTCTTTCTACTTTCTTCTTGTATGTTAAGCTTCTTTCTGTCTTTTCAGCTACTTTTCAGCTATTGTTTGCTAATTTCAGCTTTTTTTCTAATTCCCCAGTTTTTCAGCAAGTTCTTCTGCAATAAGCATTCACACTGCATTTTTGCGGAAAAGCAATTTCTCTAAATTTATTATTTTCTTTCCTCAGCTGGGACGTCCACTGAGCCCTCCCCTCAGGCTCCGCCCCCTCCCGAGGCTCAGCCAATAGAAACGAAGGCTCCGGAGGAGGAGATGGACGTCACTGATGATGACATCACAGCAGGTAGGAACATAAAAAAGGGTCTTAATTACAAATATTTGTTAGTAAAATAACGTGTACCCTCCTCCTGAAGTCCTGAGCTTTTGTTTGGTGTGCACTTTTATTATCGCCTGGCTATTTTCAAACATTAAAGACATTAAAATGTGGTTCCAGTACAATTAGAATTGAAAATATTAAATATAAATACCTTTTTATAGTATAATTATTACTTTTAGCTTTTGTAAAGCATGTTGCTACTTTTCGCTTCTAGTTATAATTGCATGAACTTCTCGTTCGTATCAGTTTTAGCTGACTCTTTGCACCTTTAGCTGTTTCTTTTGCTGCTTTAAACTAATCCTGCTTTTTGAGCTTTCAGCCAGCGATGGGATACTTTTAGCTTTTTGTTACGTTCTGCTACATTTAGCATTTTGCTAACATTAGCTTCCTTTAGCTTTTAGCTAATGTTTTGCCACCGTTACCTAGCCATTAGCTACATTTAGCTTGAGCTGACTGAGCTCGATGTCATCTCTCCTGCTTGTGTTTCAGTAAAACTGTTCAGCATGTTTTTAAGTCCTCTGTATCTCCCCTTCATCACCCGAGGTGAGGGGGTTCACGCCCTCAGCCATGGAGGTCACAGGTCAAAGGTCAAGCTGACCCCCACCTCTCCGTGTCATTAGCCTCGTTGTGATTTGGTTAGCTGAAACACCGAGCTCCCTCTAATCTAATGCTCCGGTCCTGCGGGGTCGCGGGGGTCAGCTTACATTTCTCCTCTGAGGAGGTAAATGTTCTGAGCTGCGGCTCCGGTTCTGTCCGAGGGTTCTGTGGACCTCAGGACCAGCTGCTGTGGGAGATGATTCTTCTGTCGCAGGTTGAAGCTGCGCTCTGAGCGTTCATCTGCGCAGGAATGTGTTTCTTTACCGTTTCAAAACGCCGTGCAAATCAGCTGAGAGCCGAAGACTTGAGTCATTTGCATAAAAGAGCTAAAGCTAAAATTAGCTAAATTATCAAGAAACGCTATAAAACACATAACTGAGAGCAAAAGTAAAACCATGCCTAAAAGATAACCTTTCTTAAACAGTAGCTAAAAGCTAAAATTGGTAAAACTGTACATAGAAAAGACCGAAGATAACAAATAATTTGGTAAAATAGTAGCTAAAATCAAGACTTTTCCACAGTAGCTTAAAGTTAAACTTGGCAACAAAAAAAAAAAGGCTAAAAGCTCATAAAATAAAATAAAGTGAAACAATATAGCTAAACCATAGCTAAAAGTGGCAAATCGTATCAAAGCCATAGTTAGCAAAACTGTAGCTAAAATCAAATTTTAGTAAAATGGTAGCTAAAGTCAAAATAATTTCCTACAGTAGCTTGAAGTTAAACTTGGCAAAAAGTAGCTAAGGCTCAAAATATAAAACGGTAGCTAAAATACAATGTGAAACAACAAATAAAATATAGCTAAAAGCTAAAAGTAAAAAATCGTATTGAAAAGCCAAAGTTAGCTAAACTGTAGCTAATAGGAAACATTTGTTTAACCATCAATAAAAACATTTTTGCTAAATGGTAGCTAAAAGCTAAAAGTAGCAAATTGTACCTAAAAGCTAATAAAAAATAAATAAAAAGTGTTGAATCATTTCATCTGGACCAGTTTCTTGAAGGGAGAAACGTTTCCTCTTCCATCCAGAAGACTAACACTGGCTCTAAAAGTTGAACAAGTTAATGAAGACTCGGCTGTAAAAAGCAAAGCTATAGTGAAAAAGCAAACTTAGCTAAATGTAGCTAAACGTAATAAAATAGCTGAAGTGTATTTTGAAGAAGAGTTTATTTTAAAGGAACTGAAGAAGACTCCATGTGTTTCTACGGGGGAAATCTCGGGTTAAGTTAAATAAATCGGTGTCGGGTCAGCTTGACCCAAGGGCAGCAGGAGGGTTCCTGGATATTCTTGACATTGAGCTCAACGTAAACCGTTCTTCTGATTCATCAGGAGCGGAGGAGGATGAACCTTTTGGTTCCGTCTCCTCTGGACTCGTCTACAGTTTGTTTGTGGTTTCTCGTGTGGACCCCCCACCCACCCCGCCCCCGCACTCTAATTGAAGGCCTCGGCTCCCGCTGAGCGCAGATAGCTCCTCTGTCTTAAGACGGTAAAATACACTTAACCTTCAGATGGACTCGGCCGGTTGGAAGGGCAGCCGCCGTTTCAGAACTCAAATCTTTTTTCTTTATCAACTTAATTGTGTTTTCAATTATTTCTCCAGATTTTCTGTCTCCTGACATTTGCTGTAAGGACACCCCCCCCCCACCCATGTTGTCTTTGTTTTACCGGAGGTTTTGCTCCTCTCTCAGGATCCAGAGCTGAATTTAGTTCACGTTTCACTTTTTGTTTGTTCACTCCTCCTCCCTAACTTGTCTTTTCTCCCACACCTCCTCTCTCTTCTTCACTTCCTCCTTTTGTTTCTCACATTATTTCTGCGCTGCTATCGACCCCCTCCTGCACTCCCCGGTGATCAGGTTTTACCAGTCTCCCATTGATTACCAATAGAAGCCATGCCAGGTGCATGATGGGAAGCTGCTGGGGTTGAAGCTCCAGGAGAGAGGGATGGGAAGGTTGTTGGTTTGATTTCCCCCCCCCAGCCTCTAACAAACGAGCTGTTTTCATCAGAAAGCCGAAGATAAACCATATTCAAGAAGTGAATTTAACTGGCTTATCTCGGAGTTGGATCTATAAATTATCATTTTTATTTATGGAAATGTAAAAAACTCTCAATCTGAACAAGCAAATGTGGGAAATTGTTTAATGCTTTTCAAAAATAAAAAGAAACGTCAACTTATTCCCTCGTGGCCTGACCTGAACATTTGCACGCAAGTTGTAGAAGGTGTCAGGTACGCAAACGTTGTTGCCATGGTAACCGTGAATGTACAGGTAGCTGCGTGGACTAAACATGGTACGACTTAACGCAGTCGTCCGTAATTTAAGGTCTGTTGGCTTCAAGCACAGAGAAGATATCTCCAGTCAGACCACCTGAGGTGATCTGTATGGAGATGAATTAGTCTCAAAAGTAGTCGCACAAACGTGCAAGACCTGTATGCCTGCAATAAGATCCACGTGCGTGCCCCAAGATTCACAAACGCATCAACAGTTTTCCAAATGCACACATTTCAAATTGCACTATTAGGAATATTCTGCACGTGCAAATTGTCGAACACGCGTGCACAAATCACCTGCTGCGGTCGGATCAGCTTGCCTGAGTGTGACGTATGACACTTTCTTACCGCTCCAGTTTCACAAAGGTGATGCTGCGTTCAAGGCTGGTGGAAAGCTGGGACATCTGAGCCTCACCAGATTTACTGAGTTATTGGGAAAAGACTCTTTTCTAACTGGGCACAGTTGCACAAATTTAACATTTCCTTCTGATGGGACCATTATCTGTAAAAATATAATTTCCGGTATTTTTTGTTTGAACTGCACTTTTGAAATGAACTACTCAAAATGCTCAGGTTATTTTTACTCTGTAAAAAAATACCAGAAAAATATGTTTTCTAAAGAGAAGCAGAGCGCCATGTCGGCATTGTGCGTGCACGTGGGTGGAATGTAGTGCTACATTTGCACGCGAGGCGTGGGGGTTGGTTAGCTTAGCACTATATTATTGCATTGCACGTGGGAGGTGAAGTTTGGTTAGCTTAGTGCTGTGTTTGTGTTGCTGACAGAGGGCAGGGGTTGGTCAGTTTAGCACTATATTTGTATTGTGCATGAGAGGTTGAGGTTGGTTAGCTTAGCGCTATGTTTATCTAGAGCGTGGGGGTTGGTTAGCTTAGCGCTATGTTTATCTAGAGCGTGGGGGTTGGTTAGCTTAGCGCTATGTTTATCTAGAGCGTGGGGGTTGGTTAGCTTAGCACTATGTTTATCTAGCATGGAGGTTGGTTAGCTTAGCGCTACGTTTGTATTGCCCACGGTTTGGAGTCTGAGCTGAGCTGCTACAATCTCTTCTCCCCATCTGGAAGTGGCCGAGCTGCGTGGGGGGTGGGGGATTTGGTAGGCGTGGCGCTCGGTTCTGTTGACTGGGCGGGGCGCCTTCCTTGAATAATTGTAGGGGAACCAATGAGTAATATATTTAGAACAAAAACGGTTTATGCATCTGTGAATGTTTAACGTTTGTGGATCTTATTGTTTTTTTTTACACTAATTTATCTCCGTAGCTCTGGGCTCTTTTTATCTGCATACATTTGGTAGTTTGAACACAGTCTGTCCTGAGCCACACTGTAGGGCACAACAGAAATATTACCTGGGGGGGGGGGGGGGGGGATTGTTTGATTACAAATACCTTAATATAGAGAAAACAGATATATATAACAAACAAAATATATCAGTTTATGTTGACCTGAGGTTTGTTGCGGTCGGGGTGAAGCTGTGTAAAACAGCTGTCTTTAACTGTTAAAATGTAGTTGTTTTGTCTTCTGTTGTAACAGTTGGCTTCAAGATGCCAAAATACCTTCAGAGCCACCAACAGATTGTATTTTATACAGCATACCACAAATATTACTCATCAGTGGACATCATTTGTTCATATTTGTCTCTTTTCTCATCTTATCAGCCTTTTCACTTTGTTCTTTCTGCATCTGTCCGTCAGTCCTAATCTATCATTTGTCCTCATCTTCACCAGTCATTTATCCTCATTCCATCCTTGAGACAGTTCCAAAGAAACCTTTAAATTGTGTTGCTAAACAATGTGTAGCATTACAAACAATAATTTAGATACAGAAGCAAAAGCAATGTTGGCATTTCTTATTATTTTAATAGTGAAACAAAATGTCCTCCTACGTGATACCCCCCTTCATCAGTTGAGTGACATTTCAGGTTCCTTTTATGACATATCCATTATTTTTCAGAGATTAGGCTGATGTTATTCCACAGGTTGTTGCATTACAGCTGCTGCCCTTCCTTTAATACATTCCTTCCTTTATGGATAATGTCATTTCAGCCAGAACGCCTTTTTATCCCGATCCATTTCTCGTTTTTATGAAGATTTAGCTGA